GTGACAAGGTTTTCAAAACTGTGGATGAAGTGGTTGACATGTCTGCTGTTTGCTTGTGGTTTGATGGTTAGTACATGTCTGTGACTTCAACATCCTCACTTCTGACTGTCAACCTGCTTGCTTGACAAGGTTTAATTAATGATAAGAGAAAGAAAGATTAAAGAAAACACACATGCAACATCAATTCCTGTGGTGACTCATGGACTCAGTGAGTCTATAAATGAGTTTCATGTGTGAGTTCAGAGTTACTTTATTTATCTAACTCAGTTATTTACACGGCATTACCATCCGCATGTTGTTCTTCATTCCGCCTGACTATCTGCTCAGCTCTAGTGTGGGCAGTGACATATTAAATTGAGCTCTAGGCTCAGACTGGTTTCTTTTTACTGCCACTTGTGATTACGGAAGTTATAAAGATCAGCTGAAATACTACCTCATTTTTGTGTGTCTGCAGCATACTGACTGGCCCAACAACGCAAGCCTAGTTCCCACCGTGGCTTTTAGCTTCTTTAAAACTTTAAATAAGATCCCGAATGATAACAGTAAAAAACCAAAAATTTAGCGCCTCATATCAGTGAGCTCTCATTGGGCCTCCTGAAGAAAGCATCAGCTTAGAGAGGCGCATATCGTTATCTCCACCAGAGTCGAAGGCTACATAGTCTCAGATGAACAACTGGGTAATCAGGTCATGTGAGTTTCAAGTTGTTTGAACTCAGCTTGCTTTGCACATGTGAATTAGAAATGTGCACAGCAAGGTGGAAATAACTGATGCAGGCACAGCTCTGCATCCTCAGCTGTACTCAAGTCAAAGCACACACACTTGTTTCTTATCACAGACAGTGGTCACTGAAAACTCAGTGCTTTGATTTAGTTCAAATATGGACCCAAATGCAAAAAGCTGTATTATAAAAGCTGATATTAAACAAAGGAGAATAATTCAAAAATGCTAGTTACAGGAATACAATTAAATTAAAGTAAATTAAATAAAAAAATCTTTAGAGGGCTGACTAGGGAAGTGGAGACTGTTGGAAGAATGCACAGGTGCACTCAAGATAATCTCAGGGGGAAGCAAAACTTAAAATGAACCACAAGAGTCAACCAGCTGCTGAAGTAAAATGGGAAATAACTTATTAGACACCTACTAAACGCAGAAAGAAGAAACTCACAGTAAAACGTGGCACAGAGATGATGGATTTGGCAGATGCAAAGCCAAAGGGGAATTCTGCCACAGACAGGAACTGAACCTGCAACTTTCTACTTGTTGAGCAAATTTTTTAACCACTAAAGCTCTCCACAAGACTGAGAATAAATGGAGAAACCAGAGACTCAATGATTTTAATAACGGATCCAACTTATAATGTATAAGATGCAAGAATAAAAAAAATGGGGAATAAACCTAAAGCGAACCTATACTCAACTAAAAACCAGTGGGTCCCTAATTACTGTAAACATAGTGGTGATGCATTCAAGAAAAAATGAAATCCAAATAACCACTAGTAATATTTGTGCTGCTGATCAGTTTCTCCCAAAATATTCTCGCAGGTCTTGAGTGAAGCCATGAAACACTGCGACCTGTGGTTTTCCACAGTGGACAGTCAGTGTTGGTTACAATAAAAAAGCATTTATGACCTTATAATTCATTAAAGCAGTCAAAACTTTTATTGCATCCAATAGATTACACAACAAGTGTGAGATACAAATCAACACAAGTTAATGATTACTGATCTGTTTAAGTAATCCTATCGAGGAGTGATGAGTGGTAGCATCAAAGTATGCTTCTGCGAAATAATGATTTATACAAAGTGGTTGATTTTTTAATTAAGCATCCAGAGTCACTTATCGGAGAAAAGAACCTGAAAGGAAAATCAAAACAGGCTAAATTAATTAAATTATAAAAACAGATAAAGCAATGATACAAAAATACTTTGTGCCTTAACAATAAGGCAAACAAATAGAAATAATTTATCTCACTGGTCATATCTCACATGCTCTTTGTCTTATATTAGCCCTTTCAGAGTGAGTGCATAGATGACCAACCCTGAGGATGACCCACAGGGAGCAATGCAGGATGCTTTAGTGAGAAAAGAGAACAACTGCCATCACTACATTGTAAAATATATGAAATGATGACAAAATAAAGGCTGTACTATTATTGAATTAGTGCATTCTTTGGTTTCTTACCTCTCAGATCCAGAACTGTGGAGCTTTCCATCATGGTCACTGTGTTTTTGGCAGTGCAGGTGTAATTTCCAGTGTTTTCTGCCCCTAACCTCTCTATGATATACAACGAGTTATAAACATGCGTCTCTTTGCCATTAAACATCCAGCTGAAGTGTGCTGGTGGGACCGAGTCTGCGGTGCACTGCAGCGTTATACTGTGACCTTGAGGAGCAGCTGAGGGTCTGCTGATCAACACGTTGTATGGTCCAACTGCACAATTAAAATACAGTGTTAGGGACATTCAGACTATTACTGCTAATATAGCTGTCTTTAAAAAAAAGTTAAAGTCAATTAATTTTAACTTGATTTATTCATGTTTTCTTTAATAGAAACACTGTGAATGCACGGTGAATACTCACAGCTGACAGTGAGATTATGGGTCGCAGTCATGGTGCTGACCGGGTTGCTGACTCTACACTGATAGGTGCCGCGGTCAGAAATGTGAACAGGCTGTATGGACGCTGTCTTGTTGTCCAAGGAAAAGCTGACACCGCCACTGGGATTAAGAAGCTGGCCATCTTTTATCCACTCTCTGGAGCTGATGGAGCCAGAGGCCTCACAGGTGAGGTTGGTGGAGCTTTCATCTTCTTATCAGGATGGCTGTGGGGCTGCGGATGGTGGCTCCAGACGATAAAAAGTGTCAACTTTGGGTGAAATGATGGAAAAAGAAGCAACACAGTTTGTGTGAAACATATATGTGTCACTTTAAGTAACATTTTGTGTGACAGTAACTTTAAAATGACATAAATCTATCATGATTTCATTGGGTCATAATTCATTAATTATGTTCCAATTTCAGATAGATTTTTAACTGTCTAACATTTAAAATGGTAGATATTTATTTTTCTGTTTGAATTTCTATTATTTTTTATTATTAAAGTGTACAAGTATGAATATCGTGGTGGTAGAGTGTAATTGAACTGCATCCTGTAAATCCAGTGCAATCTAACAACAACCCAAACTTTAATTTATATGTTAGTCCTTTGGGACCCTGTTTCACTCACTTTCCCTCTCAGTATAAGCACACACTCTGTTTTCCTTGTCATGTTTGTTTTATGAATGTGTTATCAAAA